TTTAATCTAGCTATTAAGACATGCTTACTTTTTTATAACTACATTTAACTACCCTTAATCTAACTCTAAAAGTAAAAATTAGTTCCTTTGCCCAGAGCTTGAAGAATTCTCAAACAAATTTGGCTTTAAAAATATTTTATCCCATGTCTTTTGTTCAGATATCTTGGGAACTGGTGTGGAGGAAGAGGAGAATAGAAGATAAGATGATTGAATTATTTTTATTTGCTAGAAAAAGCTGCTATTGTTTTCTTCATTGGCAGAAGCAGCAATGGGAAGCTCATGAATCCAATGATAAATCATCCCTGGGCAGATTATTTATAATGTATATGTTAAGTCATTATCACTCATGAAGTCTGTATGTATTTAACCCTGAATGTTCAATTTCTTTTATTTTGTACTTCGAGGAAACCTATCAAATGCCTGGAGTAGTTTGTTATAAAATTGAACAATTAAGTTCTGCAAAAAGTTGTCTGTACTATGACTAGATTATTTTAAACTAGCTCAGTTTTGAGTCATCTCTAAAAATGGTGATTCCTCTTCCTGTATCTTAATTTTATGTCCAAATGTTTTTGTTAAAGCCTGGCCAAATGCAGGTCTCTACCTAACGTATTTTCATCTTTGTTCAAAGACTGAAAGGTGGCCAGTGTGGCTGAAGCATGAGTGAAGGGTAGACTGGTATGAGATGAGGTGGGAGAGGGAGGCAGGGTTCAGATCACGTATAGCCATATGAAGGCCATAATAAGCAGCATACATTTTATTCTTAGTGAGATGGGGAGGAAATGACGATAAGATCATCCTGGCTGCCGAAGAGAAAAACCAAATGGTGCAAGAACGAGAGACCAGAGAGGAGGCTCTTCGAGTAATCCAGACAGCTGGACCAGAATAATTGAGGAGATGGAGAGAAAGGGACAGATTCAGGATATGTTTTGCAGATAAAAGTTCACAGGATTTGGTGACAGATTGAATGTAGGCTGTAAGGGAAAGAAGCATCAAGGATATGCCCAGGCCTGATGTTCACCTCATGCCACTGCAGTGGCTGTGTAGGTCTTTATGTGATTCCTATTAGGATGGTCCAGTGCTTTCACTGTACCTGATGAGCCAAGGTTTGGGGTTTGAAATATACGGAAAAAAAAAACAGGGAGGAACAGGTCTGTTTAGGGGGAAAATCAAAGTTCTGTCCACCTACATGTTACAACATAACACTCCCAGATTGATGAGACTTTACAAGTACCTTCATGAAATTTTTCTGAAATTTTATACAAATAACAATAATGACAAAAACATTCTAGACAGAAGTGTTTTCCTATTGTTTCACATAACAAACATGAATCTCACTCCTCCCCCAACTTCTGTACATCTTATCCCCTGTGAATTAGTAAAGTTTTGTTAGCCTGGAGGGGTTTATATCAGGGTTTCTCAACCTCAGCACTATTGACATTTTAGATGGGTAATTCTGTTCGGGGGCTGTCCAGTACAAGAGCCCCTGGGTCCACTAGATGTCAGTAGCACCAATTCCCACTTGTGAAAACCAAAAATGACTCCAGATATCAGATGTTCTAGGGGAGTAGTATCATCCCCAGTTGAGAACCACTGATTTATACTAGACAACAGAACTTTCTAGCATGGTGCTAATAGTAACAAAACTAACACTTATTTAGCACTTGTTATGTACCCCTTTTATTCCTACACCACCAGACCCAGTAGTAGATAAACTTTAAAAATCTGCTGGTTTTAAGTCATTAACAATACACAAATGCCTTAAACTTATCTTTAAGTTAAATACAAATTATTTTATGTTGGACTGCAGCATTTTGGGAATTAATTCACTGACTTGTTTTCCAAATTGTCATGGTGCATGATGCATTTCCTACCGTTTTTAGTTTTTGTTACTTAAAGTGGGACAAAACTGGATTCTGTTTTCATCCTTGCTTTTTATTGATATATAGGTTTGTCCAACCTTTTAGTTTTCTCACCCATATCCATTTTAACCACATTTTGGCTGGGGAGATGTGGGAGAGGGAGCAACTAGCTTTTAAGTGTTTCTAATGCATTCAACCTAGCTTTCAAATAACACCGCAAGTCCTTTACACTCACAGTTCAAAGGCTGCTAAATATTTAATATTACATAATTACCCTGAGTACAACAGATAGGTTCAGTGACCACTGCCACTAGCTTTTTGAAAGCATGCAGTTCATCTGGTGGGACAGAAGCACAGGGAGTATTAGAGAACAGTCTCCTAGCCATAGCCTTCAGGTGCACCATGTGATAAGCCAGCATGGGTATTAAGCTAGTTTTGCCAGGTGGAAATTGGTTAAGAAGTACTGTATATGCCAAACACCATGTAACGTACTCTACTTGCATTATCTCTTTCAATGCTCACAGACAATCCTAAGACATAGGCATGTTAATATTTTTGTTTTTCCTTTGAGAAAACTGAAGCATAAAGTAAGTGTCTTACAGGTTACATAGCTAATAAATAAAAGGAGCAGGATGGGAACCCCATTCTAACACGCTTTATCATTTCATCACAACTCCAAGGCCATGAGCGTTAATTCCCTACAGAGCACTAGGCTCCAGTCTGGTCCATGACCATAAACTACACCTTTGAATCTTGCCCCGTCATCCTCAAAGTGTGTGCTGTAGCAGGAAAATATGGGAGACCAATATAAATCCATCAGTTAGAACGATACAAAGAACTGATACGAAAGCTCAGTGATTCCAAAGCATTAATTCCGTATACTTAAAGATAAACCAAACAAATACTACCTATATTAGTTTCCTGTTTATGTGGTAACAAATTACCACAAACTTGGTGGCTTAAAACAAATTTATTATCTGTAGAAGTCTGACATGGGCTAAAATCAAGGGCTGCATTCCTTTCTGGAGACTCTAGGGGAGAATCCATTTCCTTATCTTTTCCACCTTCTAGAAGTCACCTGCATTCCTTGGGTTTTGCCCACTCCCCACCCCCTAAGGCCAATACTGTTGCATCTCCCCGACCATTCATCCATAGCCATATTTTTCTCTTACTTTGAACTTCTTCCGTCTTCCACTTTTCAGTGCCTGGGTGATCACATTGGACCCATGTGGGTAATACAGGCTAATCTCCCTGCCTTAATAAAATGAGCCTTGGCACAGCTTTGAGCCACAGTCTGTTCCTGTGTCTGCTTTCACAAGGTGATGAGACTGAAAGTTTGATTTGTATGAGAAATTAGTCATGACTGAATTGCTTCATATACTAGAACTGTGCTCAAAGACCATGTAAATGGGTCAACTATATAATTACAGATAATTATAGATGTATCGGAGTCATTTAGTCTTCTAATAGTTAAGTCTAATCAGGCTAACCAAATTCCTCACATGAGGTTCTAACACATGTACATGTGCATTTGATATAGAATGTATTTATTTAGTAGGAAATACTATATAGTAACACTGGATAGAATTTTCTTCACTGAAACATAATTGCTTATAGAAAGTTGTGGGGTACATAGTTGACTATCACACTTGTGTACAATATGTGATGATCAAATCAAGATAGTTAGCATATTCATCATTATAAAACATAATCATTTTATGTGTCTTAACCAATTTCTTGTCAACCCTCTTCTCCCTCTCCCACCTCTAATAACCACAGTTTTGTTCTTTCCTTCTGAAAGTTCAAGGTGTTATTGTGATTGTTGTTTATTTTTTAGCTCCCACTTGTGAGTTGAGGACATGCGGTATTTCTCTTTCTGTGCCTGGCTTATTTCATTTAACATAATTTTTTCTGAGCTCATCCATATTGCTGTGAATTGCAGAATTTTGTTCTTTTTATGGCTGAACAGTATTCCCTTGCATATATATACTACATTTTCCTTATCTAGTCAACTGGACAAAAATTTTGAATTTTCATTAAAGCTTTCTATTTAGGACTCCTCCTGATGACTAGAGGACATTAAAGGGATTGTTTCAAAATAACTATCATTCCCCTTTTTATGTGTCATGTTCATCCAGACTATCCAGACATTAATTTTATTTCTGATATGTCTCCCAAGGTTGTTATCCCTGAGTGAGAGATAGGCAATGAATTTAACTGTCTTTTGCTCCCTGAGATTTTTCTAAGTTTTTGTCTAACACATTCACTTAATGGAAAAAACTGAATTGAAAGTAGTCACAGGGATGTAAAAGCCACTACTAACTCAACTGAAAAGCTCCTGTATTTAAAAGACTTCCAATTCCTTTAAAAACTTATGACCGCAATTGAATTCCAAGAAGAGCTATGAATTAATAAACGTCCACAATTATAGAGGTGATAAATACAACAATAAGACCATTCAAATGGCAAAGGTTAATAAATACCATTTATTGAATACCTATGTGCCTGGGTCCTTGCTCATATTATCTCATTTTATCCTTACAATCTTGCAAGGTGGAATCTTTTTATAGATAAAGAACTGGATGTATGTCAAAGGCTATGCAACTTGCCAAGGACCATGGAACTGATAAATGTTGTTGGAGATTTAAAGCCCAGTGTGTGTCATTTCAAATCCGTTTTTATTTACTAATAACATCTACTAGAATCATTTGAGTATTTTCTAACATGTTTCCATTTTTACTTTAAAAATGACCCAGGGACTTTGAGAAATTTAAATAGTGAAATTTTATTCTTTGGCATAAAATATTTAAAAACTAGCATTTGAACATGGTTAGATAGAGTGGGATTATGATTCTACTCTACGAATGGAATTATGATTCTCATTAAAATCTTTTGCAAAGATAATCAAGGTAAACAAATTTGACATCAATTTTTAATTATATATTTTAGGTAAGAGATTAAATACTTAAAACTTCAGGTCCTTAAATTTGAACAGCTAAGCAGCTCCTTGAGTCTGACAGAAAACAAACGAAAGGCATTTAAAGATAAATCAAAGGCATTTCAAATAACTGAGGAAAACCTAACTTCAAAAATTTTAAACTAAAAATACTCCTCTACATATTTTACTATTTTCTATTCCAGGAGATGAGTATGATGTATGTGCCATTTGTTTGGATGAATATGAAGATGGAGACAAGCTCAGAATCCTTCCCTGTTCCCATGGTATGAGTAATTACATACTGCTTTGAATTTACATATAAACTAATTTATATTTAGGTTCAATACTACAGGGGAAGAGACAGAAAATTGTTATTAGCACACAATAAGCCAGGCCCTGTACTAATTAGTGGCCTCATTAAAGGAAAGGGGTGTATTTATAAAAATTACACACTTTTCTTCTTCTGTCCCTACATGATGCAGAATAGAACACTAAATAAATAAGGCAAGAGATTAATATTCTCAGCTGCAGCAAACTAACTAAAGATGTATATTTTGCTTCAACAGCTTATCACTGCAAGTGTGTAGACCCATGGCTAACTAAAACCAAAAAAATCTGTCCAGTCTGCAAGCAAAAAGTTGTTCCTTCTCAAGGTGATTCAGACTCTGACACAGATAGTAGTCAAGAAGAAAATGAAGTGTCAGAACATACCCCTTTACTGAGACCTTTAGCTTCTGTCAGCACCCCATCATTTGGAACTTTGTCGGAATCCCAATCACAACAGAACATGACAGAATCTTCAGACTATGAGGAAGATGACAATGAAGATACTGACAGTAGTGATGCAGCAAATGAGATTAATGAACATAGTGTCGTGGTCCAATTGCAGCCTAATGGTGAACGGGATTACAACTTAGCAAATACTGTTTGACCTTCAGAGGGTGACTGGTCATTTCTCTTTAAAATGTTTATTTAGGTACATAATTTGATTTTTTTTTTTGCTCCCTTCTGAGATTTCTGTAGAAATAACTTATTTTTTAGTATTCTACAGTTTAATCAGATTACTGAAACAGGCCTTCTGATCCAGTATTTATCTGCAGGAGTGTACTTTATTTAACTAATAAGTAACAATAAACTGGTGCTGCTGTAACTCAAGCATCAAATCAGCTCTTCCTCTGGAATGAAACATAGCCAAAACATTAAAAAAAAAAAAAATACTCAGTATAGCTTGCTATTAAGACCTAGATCACAGTATGAAAATGTGTTGTGTTTTACACACGAGGTTAGTGCTGAAGCCACTTGGCATGAGCTAAGCCACCCACCTTCATAAAGAAACCTAGAGAGTTGTTGAGCTGGAATATGTTCTGGTATTTCCCCAAATTGCCACCACTAGTGAAAAGCAACAAGGTAATTTAGCATTTTTCCTATTAGCATAACAAAGCTCAAAACTGTCTCTTTCTTTCCTATTCTCAAGTAGTCTTATCTTGACAGGAATGTTCTGTACTAGTGCAGACTTCTTAAAAAAAAATTTTTTTTTAAGGTTTTTAATATGATAGTGTTATGTATGAATTTGATTCAGCAGCTAAAGTAATGTCTCTGGACTTTACTTACTGAATTTTGGTATCCTTAAGGGTTTTTGTGTTGTGATCAAAGGAGAAAGAAAACACTGCATAAAAAACCCAAACTTCAGCAAATGTTAATACTCAGATCATATACCTCTTAATAAAGAGCATCTTATGCTAATTAGCCCGCTAAACTATGTACAGAGGAAATTGTTCAAGTACTGGATTTGAAAACAAGTGCTTATGTTTAACAAAACTAATGATGTATTATGAAACAGTGTATTATGAAAAGCTAAACTGTATATCATACATTATTGTAACTATGTAGAAAATATAAACTAATATATAATCAGAACGCTAAGAATTTTTATATGGCCTTGTATGAGGGGAGTTTGAATATTAATAAACATGTTTTCCACTTTAAGAACCAGTAATGTTTGTTCTACCGTAGTATTACTTACCACATTAGCCTTATTTATATGCATAGTGCTATAAAGGGATAATGACTGAGCTCATGTAAACACACATCACCTTTGAACTTTATACAAGATAACGGACTGCTCACAAGCAATTAAGTAATCCTCCCCCAAAATTAAGACCGCAGCCAAAATCATTCCAAAAATAGTGTATATTATGGTATCCTATTGTAAATTAAGGTACATCTTTACAGTAGACTTCTATACAGCCTTGAAAGAACAAACATATACTTGTGTTGACGTGGGAAATTGTTAGTGAATAAAAGCATGTTATAGAATAATAAGTGTTAGGTATACATGTTAAAAAAGATGCATTTTTGGGCCGGCCTGGTGGTGCACTGCTACAGTGCGCCGCTTGGAAGTGCGGTGGTGCTCCCACCGAGGGTTCGGATCCCACATACAGACCAGTTCCCGCTCACTG